AAATTTGATAACTGTTGCTTACTTAAGGATATCTCCTAAGTATATAAATACAAGATTATAAACTGTTGTAATTACTTCAGAACTATTAAAAATTTTAGACTTATGGTAAAATTGTTATGTATTTGTTTTATATGCAGGGACTTTGTCGAATTATCTTTTATACATTTTTCACTATAATATCTCTAATCATTTGGTTAATGATTGAGATCTGTAAAAAATTTCTATTTAAAATTTATGATGTCTTATATTAAGATCAGAATTGAGTAAATTTTCATCTATTATTAAATATTTATGATGTGCTTAACAACTATTATATAGTTGTAAGCTTTTCTTACAGTTTTTTATATAATATTAATACTAACCTCACTAGAATAGTATTAGTATGTAATTGCTTTAACCAGTTAACTGTGATTGACCAGTATAGGGGAGACTGGGCACGGTTGTGCCACTTTCTTTTTTGATCTGCCATAATTTTATTATTTACCAGTTAGCTGGGAGAAAAGTAAATTAAATAGTAATTGAGCATTTGTCTATGTGACAATACTGAAATATTGTCTTTAATACGATGGATTAGTAAAAAACTTAATATACAACAAAGGATGAGTATTACAAACCGTCCCTGGGAGTGTGGACGGTTAAGCATAAAAATATAAACAGGAAATGGTTTCTAACGGCTTTATCGTCAGGATAAAAGTCATACATACAGTCACAGTCACATACATTAGACCTGAATAAATTATCTAATATATCTATTATTATTATCTATTAAGTGGTAATAATTATTAATGTTCAACTTCCAGAAAATAACAAGTGATGTATCTGTATATAATAAACAGTTATTAATAAAAGAATCGAACATAAAAAATTACCTTTGACTCTATAAAAGTAATGCAATCTACGGATCATGTTAATGTAAGGCACTAACTAAAGCAATGATGAAACTTGTTCAACCAAGCACACTGCATCTTTCTCTCTCTGGACCCTATCTCAAAATCGGTATAGTTTAGTTGTTATGATGACTGTCACTACCGTACCCAGTCTCCCTACAGCTGATAGTACGGCGCACTAATGTCGATTGATTTCAGTGTAATCAGTATGTGCCGACTGCCGACGGATTGACGTAATTTACTTACGACACCTCGTTCCGTCCCCACGGTCCGTTCGCCTATGTTTTAATTCCGAGCAAGTGCCCTCGATGGCAAATTTTGCATAACTAGTATCAATTTATTTAAAGCGATAACCAAATCTGTTTGCTTGCAATTCAAGCAGGGGTCGAGTGCAATTACTTATTGATTATACATATTATGTAAATTTAAGAATCCCCCAACGGAACAGTTAAAGTATTCCATTTTTGCCATGAGTTCTAGATTAGAGATTGAAATTGTTTCGCTACAGCGGAAAGTACCAAGAGATTGTTCCCTGCAGTCGCAAATCCACTTTGTATTGAATTAAATTATTTTATAAAATTTGTTATGCGATTCGGATTCTAGTATGTACTTTTATAAGCTTTGAATGAAAATTGTCAAACTTGAAAATTCAGGTCTAGTTAATTTCCCGTAGGGTAAGTTATAGTAATCGCAAAAAAATCGAAAATGAAAATTTTTGCATTTCTCGACGTTTCAAAGGTTTCTGAATATTTTGGCATACCTTATAAAAAATATATGTGTGTGTATGTGTGTGTGTGTGTGCGTGTGTGTGTATGCGCGTGTGTGTGTGCGGATACAAATTTTCGTCGACGATTTCGGGAACACCGATCAACCGATTTAAATAATTTAAAAAACATTCGATTCGTATTGATAAGGAGACGTGCTGATTAGGTTTTGGCGGAGGCAGGTCTAGCCGTTCCGAAGATACGGGGCAAAAAGTGCCAAAAACGGTAACTCAGTTTTTAAGAGAACAAAGCGTCCGATTTTAATAATTCAAAAAACATTTTACTTGTATTAATAAGATGCAGAATTGATCAAATTTTCATGAAGGCAGGTTTAGCGGTTTCGGAGATCTAATGGAAAAAGTAAAAAAGATGCCATTTGGCGGTCAAAAATGATCGTTAAACATATCCACATCAAATTATCAGATATTTTATAGAGATTTTAACAATAAGTATAAATTTTGTTTACATTCCTATGGGTTCCGTACCAATGTTTATGATTAAAAAGTAATTTTTTGTCAAATTTATAATTTCTCAAAAATCTAATTTCTTCGAAGTAATTTTTTTTCAAAAATGTTAATCGTTTTTGAAAAAATAATAATGTTTGGTACGGAAGTTCCAGCAATGTGCCTTAAGGCACGATGTCATGCGCCCTACTAGTTTCACATTCAATTTGAAATTAACTATATGTATATATATACTTAAATTCTAAGTCAATAACAGGATTCGATCCAAAGATCCCTGTCGTGTGAATCGAATACGCTACTAAGTGAGCTACGCTCGCCACTAAATGAACTATAATGAAAAGCTTGTATCAGTTTTATTTCTAACTTCTTCACATGTTAGCAAATACTATACTCACATGAGCGATAACAATGACATAATTCATTTAAAAAAACATTTAATTAACATCATATTTAATAATTAAGCATAACACTGATTTTAATCATTTGAATTTATAATTATATTTGAAATAATTTCCAGAATCGCGCCAAATGGAGTCTCCGTCGTGTTACTCACCGGTGACCAGCGTGGGTCGTTGGGAGGGCAACCTCGGTCCAAGGAAGCACACGGTGCTCGGACTCGTCTGTGTCGTGTGCGGAGACACCAGCTCCGGGAAGCACTATGGAATTCTCGCCTGCAACGGATGCTCCGGATTTTTTAAACGATCAGTGCGACGGAAATTAATTTACAGGTATTGTTATATTAATTATCATTATGAATTAAAAACACATTACACGAGACATTGATAATGATAATATAACAAAGTGTAAGTGCAATTTGCCTTAAGGCAAGTGGCATACACTTCCCGGCATGTGTAGATAATCAACTTAATTAATAACAAAACAATATTTTAATTGTAACCGTGTATAAGTTACTGAGTTACTGTAAGGCAATTAGTAGTTTAAATGTGTCACATTTTTTAACGAAAAACGAACACGCACCTAATACATAAAAGGTGTATTTTTTTAAAGCGCCGCATATTATTCCAAACTTTAGTGAATTCTTATATTTCAACCACATTTTGCAGTATGTATTTATAGATAAACAAATATAAACAAGTGTGTACTACAATAATTTAGGACGTTTCTTTAAATCATAGGTTTCCAAACTTTCTTGTGTTATGTATTCTTATATGCTCGATTTGTTTTTTTTATTAACTTCTAATCTTACTAAAATTTAGTATCACATATTTAAAGTCGTAGACCGCTGCTTGAAGATCCACGGTCAAAAAAGTCCATCACCAATATTCTAAAAACAAGTAAAATTGTGAATTTTTTATCAACAATATTTGAAAGTAGAGGGAAATAGATGTATAACTAACCATCACCTTGATTCTTACGACGTCGCTATCAGGAGATAAAGGGCAATGTTTGAAAATCCATAACAAAAGTATTTTCTCTCATTGTTAGTTTTTTTTGGTTGTGAGCGCTGTCGTTTAGTTGAGACCTTAATATTATTCTTAAGTATACATTATTTAATTATTTTATAAAATGTATTGTTAATTTTATGTTAGATTAAACAGTTTTTTTATATAACCTTTATAAAAGATTAGGAACAATAAAAATGAACAGTAAAAAGTAGCAGCTAAAAAGTAAATTAAGTTAAAAAAAGCAATTTTACAAGAAATAAATTAAATAAATAGTTATTCCAACTCTGCTAATGAACATTTCTGACAAAATACCAAATCAATAAGGTTATATATATGCTATCCTTGTAAAAAATGTACCCATAAAATTTATATTTTGCATTGCTTAAATAACGAACCTATTATTTTACTTGTATTGACAAGATGAAAAATTAATCAAATTTTCATAAGGGCAGGTCTAGCGGTTTCGGAGATCTAACAAAAAAAGTAAAAAAAAATGCTATTTGGCGGTCAAAAATGATCATTAGAGATATGCACATCAAATTATCAGATATTTTATAGAGATTTTAACAATAAGTATAAATTTTGTTTACATTCCTATGCGTTCCGTACCAATGTTTTCCCGTTAGACAGCAACGCGGCGCTTACGCGCTTTATATTTTGTCTCTATGCAGTTAAAGTAGTACGATTGCTTTGAAAAACAGTTCAGATCTTCTAAAATATGTCAAAATAAAGAAAACATTTTTTTCCAAATAAAAAAAAGTAATTTTCTGTCCAATTTATAGTTTCTCAAAAATCTTATTTTTTCGAAGTAATGTTTTTTCAAAAATGCTAATCGTTTTTAAAAAAATAATTATTTTTGGTACGGAAAGTTCCAGCAATTTGCCTTAAGGCACGATGCCCTAATTGCCTTAAGACAGAATTCCACTTACATCTAGTTTTGTTTATCTTTGCTAGTGCAAGAGGTCAATCTGTCCTGAGGTACTTATAATTACGATCCGCGCTCCTTGGCCGCTCTCGGCCATCTGTCCGGGGTCAGCGCGTGCCGGGGGCATCTGTTTGATCGAGGCGTACTCAATTATATGTAATCCCGTACTGAAAAGATGCGTCTTCATGCAGCACATGTTGCTGCTGCGACAGGATAAAGCGATTTTCAGTTTTGTGTCCTTTATGATTTACCCCATATCATTTTCTGCATCCACGAAACGTGGAAGATTAACGCGGTTAAGTCATGTTTTCTATTTGATTCGTTTTTACTGGAAGCAATCGCATTCAGTCGACAATGGATTAAACGGGTACTTCACAAAAGCGGTTTCATTCAATCTTCATTGTTATATATTGTATGAACGATCAGACGAGATATTATTATATGTTATAAATTAGATTTTAATCGGTCATCAGAACTCTCTAGTTTGAAATAATTTACACAACAATTTAGGGTATAATTGCAGTCGACCACATTATCGATGCATCATCATCATCGACAAAAACTATCGACAAGAATAATAAATTATAATTATTAACTTCCCGTAGGGTAAGTTATTGTAATGGGCCGAAATCGGAATTGAAATTTTTACATTTCTCGACGTTTTGAAGGTTTCTGAACGTTTTGGCATACCTCAGAAAAAATGGATGTGTGTGGTGTGTGTGGTTGTGTGTGTGTAAGTGTGTATGTATGTATGGATACAAATTTTCGCCCACGTTTTCGGGCGTACGGATTAACCGATTTGAATGGTTCAAAAAACATTCGATTCCTATTGATAGGGAAAAGAGCTGATTAGTTTTTGGCAAAGGCAGGTCCAGCCGTTTCGGAGATACGGAGCAAAGAGTGCAGAAAATAGAAATCGAGTTTTTGAGAGAACGGAGTATCCGATTTGAATGATCTAAAAAACATTCAATTAGTAATGATTGGGAGAAGTGTTTATTAGTTTTTGGCAAAGGCAGACCCAGCCATTTTGAAGATACGGAGCTAAATATGTAGAAAATGGCAATTTTTGAGAGAACTAAGCGTCCGATTTAAATGATTCAAAGAACTTTCTGCTTGTCTTAACGAAATAATTGATTTAGGAAAAAAAAATTTTGTTCAATTTTTTTTTTTTTTTTTTTTTTAAGTATTTTGTATATCGAAAATATTTTAGATTTTATTTTTAATTCTGACTATAGTACTAATATACTTTACAAATAATTTCAACTCTGCAATTCAGTTTACATAATTCTTATAAATATTAGACAATTTTACAATATTTATAATAATCTATTAGAAAACATTCAGTATTCCACAAACATTTCGTTACGGTACGGGAAGTTCCAGCAATTTGCCTTAAGGCACGATGCCATAATTGCCTCAAGACAGAATTCCACTTACAGCTAGTTTATTATTTTTATTAAATGTAATTGTATTATTTAATGGTATTATTATATGCAACATAAATGAATATCGTGTCGTTAATCGTAAGCTGAGAAGAATAGATTTCCAAAAAACAACTGAAATTTCAAAAGCAAAATAATATTTTTTTAAGAATACGATTAAATAAATGATGTTTGAATTCAAGTACATTCATACAAAGAAACGTATGGATTTCCAATAAACTTATAAGATCTTTATTTTATGGGTTGAGATCCTAATCTTCATTCAGTGGAAAATAACTATAATACTTAAAAACTATGTAACAAAATTAACAGGACAAACAAACATCTTTTATTTATTATCCTCCAATATCTATTACCCACAGCAAATTTAAGATGTTGCATAAATATACATACACATACACACACACCCATATATATATATATATATATATATATTATATATATATATATAATATTATATATATCATAAATTTGTGTGTATGTGCATGTTATAAAATAGGTTTATGTACCATATTCTGTGTACAATATCCCAAGATCATAAAGATAAAACCGTTCGTATAGACAATCCATAGTTGATAGGAGTATGTTGGGCGTCCCCTGCGGGAATTGCGAAAATATATGGGAGTCACAGGTGCAAGATGAGGATCAAGCAATTCTGGCTCTTGTCTCAATGGTGTCGTCATGACATCTCTGATGTTTATTGATGGTGATTGAAAAAGTTTAAGAGATGTTTTTATTTTAATATTTTCATGCGAGAATATGTATTAGGGCTCAACCGCACCGTATATATCACGCGGCGAGACGTAAGGACATATAACGCGGCTTAAATGTCGCACACGAAATAAAAGATGAAATACATGTCACTTTGGGAAAATTGAGATTGTGATTGTCACAAAATATAATAAAATCTTTAATTCGATAGCATACCCCAATTTATTGTGTTGCTTTTTACACAGCTGTATGGCAGACTTTCTGCAAGTTCTACAAACTTTGTTACATGTTAGATATTTTTGTTGAACAACAAACACATCTTTAACTTATGATCAGAATGAATTTCTTCAGCACGAAGTAAGATGATATAACGCACTTTTTCTAGAATTTGATTGTAAAATAATGACCAATAGCTATGGTATTATTTTTACTTCATTTGGTAAAGAAAGAGTTTTTTTTCTCATTTATTTCTCATAACAAATCTGAACCTTTGGTTCAATAAAGTTATTTGCTGTTGGGTACATGTCGCTTAGAAATTCCCCCACTGAAGAATTTCCTTATATAAATATATTGCTTGTCAATTTATTAGATTTTGCGGCCACTTTTATTTCACTCTTCTGATGGTAACTTGTTTTTCCACATCTTTTATTAGTGTGTTTGGACGGTATTTGCTCTTTTGGTGATATTTCAAGCTTTATCCTTGATCACCTTTTGTACATATTTGATGTTTAGATCTCAGTGAATTGTGTCGTTGGGGACATACTGGGGAGCGTTTACTATGGCTCGAAATATTTTAGTTGTGCTTTTTGGGTGGTTTCTATATTGGCCGTGCTCGCACATGCCCACCCACAGCTCGATACCGTATGTCCACATTGATACTATTACTGCTTTTATATGAGGATCTTGTTCTCATATGACATCTTAGTGCTTCTTCCAATTCACGCGAGTGGAGTTCACGAAATTTGTTTGTCTATTTTGTTAAGGTCTAAAGCCAAACTGGTAGTCGGGAATTATTGAAAGCTTTTTGTTTATTCTGCTTAGAATTATTTTCTCCATTGTTTTTGAAAGGGCATTAGACTGTTTGGTCTGTACGATGTAGCTTCAGTAGGTGATTTTCCTGGTTTAAGGATCATAACAATTTCAAAAATTTCAAAACATTTCAGCCAATATATTGTTCTATGTATTTTATTAAATATGTATGTCAATAGAACTATGCTTCTCTTGGACAGTTCTTTGATCATCTTGCATGAGGAAGAGTTACAGCATCGATTCATTCTTATTTAGTATAAATTTAATTATTGGATCTCAAAACTAGTACAACAAGCTTTTCTTCGCTACTATAAACACCAAAAGTGAAACAATTCATTTAACTTAAATATGGGTTTTAATTTGAAGATGTAGTAATCACTGCCATAAAATGTAAATGTATCGGTAGTGACTTGAATCGTGTTTTTACAATTGTACAAACTAGTCTCGGGTTCGATCCCAACCTGGGCCAAGCTTGGTGTGAGGTAGAATGATTTCAAATTTCCACATGAGGTTATAGTTCTCAACTATGATCTTAAGTGAAAGATTTTGGGCATAGCAGCATGTAAATATATACTACAGCACTATTAGATATACATATATAATATATTCATTCTGCATATAAAAGGAAGGGTGGTTGATCGCTGAGTTGCCCTTTCAGGAAAAATATCTAGGTTAAGATCAGAAAAAATCAAAATACGTTATTCTGATTGTAGTTCAAATGAAACAAAACAGTTTGTTAAACCCAACCTTACTTCTATATTTGATCAGAGTATATCGAAATTTTATTCTAGCTATTACCATAGCTTCTAAAATTGTTTAAGCAAGCAAACATTGCCATTATACAAAATCTTTATATTTTTCAGCTGAATTATGTTTTACATATTTTACGTGTTACGTATATCTTTGTTATTTTCGGCTTTATAGAAGTAAATTGGATTTTCAAGAATACAGAACAGTACCCACATAACAGAAAAGAGCAGTGATAACAAATCTTACGATATCTCATAAATATGGCATTAATTTTCTCAATATACTAGAAGCCTTTTATCACAATTAAGAAACGTCCATATATTCTGTTCATTGATTTCTAATTTGCGTGTGCAATGGTGGGGTTCAGGTGGTTTAATTTGTGGACTGTAATTGATTTATCCTGTCATCATAAAAAGTGATTAAAACTACTATTTAATTTGTGATAAATATCCAAAACTCAATACTGCATCTTATTACTCTCATTCCTTTCGCTATATTGTACTGCTTATAAATAATCAATCTATTTACATAAGAAAACATATATTATCTCCTACCCCCTTGGTTAAAAAATAGGCTGGTCAAATCTTGATCATATAAGATTCATATGAGTAAAAACTGAAAAAATTAATTAATATTTTTGCGACTTACTAAATATTTTTAGTATTTATATGTCAGTATAAAATTATTATGTAAAAATATTTTATTGTATTTTAATTTCAGATGTCAAGCTGGTACTGGACGTTGTATTGTTGATAAAGCTCACAGAAATCAATGTCAGGCATGTAGACTTAAAAAGTGCTTAACCTGTGGGATGAATAAAGACGGTAAGTTTTGTTGTCTAAAATTATTAAATTATAAAATCTTTATGAATTCTATTATAAAAATTGCAATAATTTATATGTTAGTAGTATGCATTTTATTAAATTAATTTGGTCTAGTAATAGTATTAAAAAATATTGGTTGGGCTCGTCCGGGAATTGAACCCGGGACCTCTCGCACCCGAAGCGAGAATCATACCCCTAGACCAACGAGCCGGTATTCATACAATTAAATAGACCGATTATTATATTTCACCGAACAATAAAATTAATAAAAAATTGCTAGTTCTTAATTTTTTTACGAAGAGCTGCTTAAAATTTTGTATAGGATGTTCTGGAAAATTATTCTACAAATTTTAATTACTATTTAATTATTATAATAATAATTATTATTTTTATATTTTTTTCATTTTTACAATAAATTTTATTGATGCCGTATACCGCCAATTTAATATTTTTTCACAATGATAGTAATTCTCTACGAAAATAATTTAATTAAATGTAATGTAATTTTATATTGGGATCAATAATTGATAATATTACTGCGCCGTCTATACTTTGTTTAAATAATGAATTAATGAAAATGCACTTTATGAAAAATTACTGATTTCTATAAATAACTAAATACCGTGATGATGCATGAGCAAAAATGCATCAATATCTTTTGCGATCCACTTGTGTAAATATAAATTTTGAAATCTGCTACGCATGTTATTAAATGAAGTAATTGGTAATAAAATCCAATAGATGAGAGTATTTTTTGAGCTTTAACTAAATTACATATTATTATGGTCAATTTATTAATGTTATTTATTTATTATTACTTGACAATGACCAATCCAAACATTATATTTAACTTTTCGTAGAGTATGTCACAGTAATCGCAAAAAAATCAAAAATTATTTTTCATAAGTTTCTGAACATTGTGTCATAGCTTAGAAAAATAGATGATGTATGTGCGGATACAATTTTTCGTCAACGATTTTGAAAGCACGGATCAACCGATTTGTGTGATGATTCATGAAACATCGATTTTTATTGACGTGAATTGAATTGGGTTGATTGGTTTTTGGCAAAGCGGGTTTGATGATACGGGACAAAAAGTGCAAAAGTGGCAGTTAAGTTTTTTAGAGAACAGAGTCTCTGGTTTGAATCATATAAAAAGCATTTCACTTGTATTAATAAATTGATGATAATTTTGGGAAGACAGGTTTAGCAGTTTTAGAGATATAACAAAAAAAGTTAAGAATAACCCCTTTAGTATTCAAAAATGATCATTAGACACATACTATTAAATTATTCGATATTTTATAGAGATTTCTCTGATTACAAATTTTGTTTACTTTTCTATTGATTTGGTAAGGTAGGGCGGGGCTAGTTGAGCAACTTTTTACCTAAACGGATGTAGCTCCTCAATGAAAAGTCTCAATAAATTGCTATACGGCTTAATGGATTTGTTGTTTATCGCTTAACAAAAGTATTAATACTATTTTTTGGCAATAAGTAAAATTTAAAAACTACAGCTGTTTAAATGCAAAAAGTCAAGTATGCTCAATGTACCCCATAAGTAGGGCAAGTTGAGCACTAAGAAATTATAATGAAATCGTAGGTTCAATGTCGATTAGTGATGAAATAAAATTAGTTTTTGATAACCAGTTCTATATTTATAGTCTTTATTGACAGAGAAAACAAAGCTTATAGTAATTTTCTTTGAATAACTAATCAAAAGTAGAATCAACAAAACAATATCGTATCTTAGGAATTATTTTACCATTATATTCAGTATTTTTGTTTAAAATCATTATTTCTTTATATTAATACTCATAGACTTAGCTTAAATCTTAAAAATAATAATTAATTTCTGGGAGTTAATGGTAATTGTCTTAGTGACAGAACAAGTTTAGCAACTATGCTCAACTAACCCCAACTCGGAATTTCAAAATAAAAGTGAGTTTATAAAAAAAACCGTGACAATTATACCCAGAATCTCTGTGCATATCAAAAGTACCATAATTTTTTTTTTTTTTTTTTTTAATTTTATTGGCCTCCGCTTCACAGCATTTTAGCCACATACATTATTCATTTTATTCTTTATCATATTCTATACAATTCTTACATATGTATTCTTATACATTCATCATATATATACTTATCTCTTCTTATATCCTAATCTTCCATTCAATTTTCATTGTTCTTCTTTTTCTCAATATGTTCTTCTCATCATCCAAACCTCTTCTTCTTTTTCCTATTTACTTCTATTTTTTCTTGTATTCTACAAATTAACAATTATTTGGAAGCGCCAGGAGTCGAACCAGCGATCTCCGGCATGTGAGTCGGACATGCTGCCTCTGGGCTACGTCCGCCACAAGTACTATAATTATATGGAAGAATAACATTTACTTGATTAAAAATAAATTACATTTGACTAAACCAGACAAAAACTCGTGATGAATTACTTTTTTACTTTTTGATCTCAAAATAAACAAAACGCCCGTGAGCCTCACTCATTTGTCCAGCGGCCACTAGCGATCGCAGGATGTTTATTTCTTCCAAAGTTCTATCTTTTCGCCATATAATGCCTAAACAAACGGTGAATAGTTTTCGAGATATTTCGATTGCTCAATTGCCTCTATGCACCGCCCTACCCTACCAAGATTTATAATGTTTAACCGTTAAACTATGACTTAAAAGGCTAAGCAGCGCGAGCGCTTAAAAAAAAAATTAAAGTTGCAAAAAAAAAAAATATTCGAGAAAAAATCTATTTGTTCAAATTACAAACAAAATTTAAAGTATTTAAACATTTTAAATTACGGTACGGGAAGTAATTTGCCTTAAACACGATTTGCACCACTAGTTTAATTTTTTTATCAAAAATTTTTCCAGTATGATTTGTATGTAAATTTAAATGTAAAATGAAATGGATATCAAGTGACACATTAAATTCAATTTTATCTACAAAATCGAAGTAACTAAAGACCGACAAGCATTTAAATGTCCCAATTACATTTGGGTAGTTATTTGAAAGAAAGCATACATATGATGATGAAAGATGATGACTTCGATCATAGATTTGTGTTTTTATGGAAGGTGTTTGGCATGTGTAGTGTTGAATAATCATTGTTGCGATTAATGTGGTTTCCTCGCGGACGTTTATGTAACCCAAAGGGATAGATAATAGCAAATGTATCATGCAAATCGATTCATTATTTCGTCTCGCGCTGTGCCGCCACGCGCTGCTCGGTTCATGCTCGGTTCGTCGTTGTCGGCTAGTAGGTGTAGTGTTAGAAGTATCGAGGCAAAAGATCGATATTGGGTACTTTGAAAAGTATCTAATCAAAATATCGATGCCAAAAAAATATCGTGGCGAAAGTATCGATAGTACTCAATATAGAATTTTGAGTACTTTTCATAAAAATCAAACATAAGTGCAAGAAAGATCTAAAACTCATTAAATATTATATCACAATATTAGAATAAATTCTATTGCTTGTAATCTGATGTGTTAAATCAGAATCATTTTCAATATTGTAAAATTTTAACAGTAATTTTTCAATACTAATTTCAAATTCTATAATTTTTCAAAAAAAGACAAGTTATAATAGTTGATTATTTTTGATTAAAACAATATAATAGTCTGATACTATGTTCAAAAAGCAATACTTTTTAAGTATTTTTAAGCACAATCATATTTTTAATATTTTTCAGTGCAAACAATTGCCACAAGAACCAAATTAATTTATTATTTTCTTAAAGTTTTTTGCCCACTATACTGAAGAAAGTATTCTTTAGTTTTGTTGTCATTCATTCAGAAAAGGTCAGTTGAAATCCGATTCCTAAAATATGTTCATAATGTGCACAAACTGAAAACGAGACATTTTAAGATTCACGTACCACAAAGAAAATATTGCTCTTCTGTTATTTTTTAAATTGTTTATTTAATTTTTAATTTACAAGTACTTTACTTCAACTTACAATTCACATACTTTTAGAAAGAAAAATAATAAAACGCATTGAAATCGATGAGTATTATTATTTGAAATAATTATATTTTGATTCTTTTTTACGCAAAATACTAATATATTGAAATTGATGAATATTATTATTTGAAATAATTATATTTCGATTCTTTTTTACGCAAAATACTAATATATTGAAATTGATGAATATTATTATTTGAAATAATCATACTTCGATTGTTGAATATGTTTTTATAAAACATTTTGGTACTTTAAAAAGGCGTTTCATTTTACAAAAGAGTAATAAATAAACATCTTTATTTATTAGTGTGGTCATATCCATTTTAGGTTTTTGAGCAATAAATTCTGAGACTAATGACCCTTCGGGATCATTTTTTGACACTTCTCTGAACAATTATGACCACCTAGAGAGACTATTGCATTGCATTCGGCAAAATGGTTGATTTTCATAGTTGGTCGATAAGTGGGGTTCATAGATTACGCTGTAGATTCTTTTTGAGTACTATCGACGTAAAAGATCGATATTGGCAAATATATCGAGCTAAAAAATCGATACCAAAAGTACTCACTATCGAGTATCGACCGCAAAGTATCGATATTTACTCAGTACTCGATATTTCGTTCTAACACTAACTGTAGGTGTAGGTGTCGTGTAGGTGAGCCTTCGCTCTCTCGGCGTCGTTCTCCCGCCGTCGGTCGACCGCTCGCGTACGCTCTCGCACCGATGCACACCGCCCGCGTGGTCGCCGACGGGCGCGCTAATGAGCGCACATGCAAATGGGGAGAGCGCGACTCCGACGTTGTTAAATCCTCTTTTTCTCTTAACGCCGACACGAAACAATGTTCACATCGCCTCTTAATCGACCCAATGCGTTCGTCAAACGGCTGTGAAAAACTCTCTTTACTGCTTTGATGTCTTTTTTATCCGCAAAGCTATTCTTTGTACCGCGTGCACATGTTCTTTTCGACGGTTCATCCAAAAAGCCAGGGGTGCGTGTGCTGTTTACTAAAATCACATCAATTCGACGTGATATAAATGCTTAACGTAGCATTAATATTCTCTAATCAGATGCATGCACATCAAGATTGTTTTATTGTGACACGAACATTCATTTGATTTGACAGAAATAGGGCAGATCGAAATAGATTGGTTTTGTATTAAAATTAATTTTAACAATTCGGTAAATTGGGAATCAAACAAATTGTATACATACTATTATTTTTACGAAAAGAAATTGTTTTTATAATATAATGATGATTGACGAATGACTTGGAAATAAGTAAATATAAAATTTTGCATATTTAATCCTATTTTGAATAAGCTTGTCAGTGTGCTCATTAATAATTCAGATGACTCTAGGTCATTAAACTATTTGGTTTTGATATTTTGTAAATATCATGTTCTGATTTTACCCAGAAGTTAATAATAAACGTAATCGTTTTTTTTTTAGCTGTACAGAATGAAAGGCAGCCCCGGAACACAGCAACAATTCGGCCAGAGGCTTTGCACGATTTACACGGCGAACAAGGACGAGTTTTGCGAGAGGCGGCGGTTGCTGTTGGCGTTTTTGGGCAAGTATAACTTTATGCTTAAAAATTGTTTATTCGTTATGTATTTCTGTAATACTTTTAAGAGCTTAAGCAATTTGAACACTTCAAAATTCATATTGACAACATGGAAGGCCTATTAAATTTTTGGAAATGTTGAACCTGTTTTTGTCATGTAACGAAAAAGTGCGAAATATGAAAATACTTTATTTGTTTTACAAATTATAAAATTTTTGCTTTATCTGTAGAATAATACTCAGAAATTTTTCAGTAAAAATCTAAATATTTGCTGAAAAATATAATACGTTTAGATCGTTTGTTTTTATAATTTTCGCAATTTTTGTATGAATTTTCAGTGTTTTCTGATTGAATATACATAATAAAAAATAATAGATATTTTAAAAGAAATTGAACTTATTCAAAAATATTTATTATTTTGTTTGTATCTCTAGTTTATTCCGATTTGAAGTTCTATTTTTGTTTCAATTATTTAATATTTGCTTCTGAAATGGGATTTTCCTGCAATTTTCTACTGTCAAGCAACATTTCATTTAATATAGGGTAGTGCGGTGCACAAAGGTTCAATTTGACTTTGAGCAATTATATTGAGAAAACCAAACCAATTATATCCAACAAATAACACATGTCAAACAAACAACTATCTTTCTACGTTCAGTAAAATGCCAAATAGTAAAAATGTTTGCTATTTTTTATTTTATACACCTTTGCCAAAGTAAAGGTTCAGTTGATAACTATTTTTTGAGATTTCGGTGGTGGACCTTTTCACTCGCGGACCTTTAAGCCCCGCTTTACCTTACTCATATTATATTTATAATGTATTAGTCATTATATTATATTCCAATACACATTAATTAAAATGTATTTAAATTTTGCCAGACATGATTAAAATAGGTCAATGACATTCCTGAAGTCGATTTTACCATCGTTTTTTAATGAATAACACAAACTCAAATTTATATGTATATGGATATATAAATATATGTGTATGTGTACATGTCCAAGGACATAATGAATCAATAAATAGATTAATTGTTCCAGACGATGACACAGAAATGCAAACAATATCATCTGAATAAATAATTCGATCGTTTTCTTCTAATGGCTTTTTGCTTGAATGCTGTACTACCTTTGATTGACGTCGTAAAGTTAAAAAAATATTTATCTCGATTTTTTTATATAAAATTCAATTACAAAAATATTTTCTTACTTTTACCTTATTGGGTAAAATTATATTTTTATAGGTCGTTAAATTCGCATTTTGAATGAACAAATCTTAATGAACGGCGATTATATTATACCTATGTGTTTAGTATTGATTGTGCTTAATTATTATAGATGAGTAAAGTTTTAAAATATTGCTTCAAGATTTGGATTGGAAAATGATTAAAAATTCGAATTTGTTATTGTAATATTTAGTTTTTTAGAATTTTAATTTTATATTATTAATTACATTTTTAATGAAAATTATTGGAAAATCTTGAAATATGTTCTGCAACAAATACGAACTCGTACAGGAGTGTCACTTATGCGGAAAACATTCTCGTAGCAAAAATGTTAAAATTATCTATGTGGCTTTTTATTGTAACTAATACCTAATTAATACAGGTTATTCAAATATTGCAATGAATTTATATAGCTGTTGCTAATTACGGTTTATATGTTTTATTTTTATCTATTAAAATTTATATTTATTACACATAATTTTTATAGATATTTCTTTATTTCCTAATTTTATTTTTAAACTCAACAAGAAAGCGGAATAAAATGGGATTGCTAGGGGGTAAACAGATCCAATGTCTTATTGTCAATTTTAAAGGAATTTGACGAAATCATAGCTACATTGTTCAACCCATGTCAAATAAAAATTTTATTGGTACATTTTTTAACTTGCCGTAAGGTAAGTTATAGTAATCGCAAAAAATCAAAAATTAAAATTTTTATATATCTTTACGTTACAAAGGTTTCTGAATATTTTGACAATCCTTAGAAAAAATGAATGTATGTATGTGTGTGTATCTATGTATGTACGTGCGGATACAATTTTTTGTCGACGTTTTTGAGAACACGGATCGAATAATTTGAATGATTCAAAAAGCTATCGATTCCTATTAATAAGGAGACGTGCTGATTAGTGTTTGGCAAAGGAAGGTTCTGCCGTTCCATAGATACGGGACAAAAAGTGCCTAAAATAGTAATTAAATTTTTGTTAGAACGGAGCATCCGATTTGAATGATTTAAAAACATTTTCTTTGTATTAACGAAATTACTGGTGAAATTTTTGGGAAGGCAGGCATAAAAAACGTGAAAATCAATGCCATTTGGCGGACAAAAATAATCATTAGACATATGCACATCCAATTATCACATACTTTATAGATATTTATAAAATATAAAATATGTGATAATTGGATAATTCGATATGAAGATATTAATAAAAAGAACAAATCTTGTTTACAACGCGCGCTTCGATATTTTGTTTCTAAGCGTATCCGGATTGCTTTGAAAAAATGTTTAATATTTCAAATTCCAAAATATTTCAAAGTCTAAAAAAAACAAATTTTTCAAAAAGGTCAATTTTTTTTTCAAAAAAGTCAACCGTAGTTCGCAACCTTCTTTAAAAACAAGAATTAATAAGATAATAATTTCCGTAATAAAATTCAATCTCCATATTATAATTTGTACCATCATTACGTTCAGTATTATATTATATATGGACTTGATCCGAGGATCTCTGGCGTGCAAGTGGGGCACTGAGCTACGTTTTTTACTTGTATTATAGTATGTGTATATTTATATATGTGAATTAATTACAACAAACTATTAATATTACCGGTAAAAATAAAAGACAACATTTCCACAGACCGCCTGCAAGCCTGGCCAGCATGAGCCTGCAGACGGGCCGATACAGCGCCACGAGTATATTGTCGCCTGCGATGTACTCGGCAAATTGCACGCGGGCGTCGCTCGCTCCGGAGCCGAGTCTATCCTCCGGTAGCTCATCCACGCCACCTCCCCGGAACGCTTTCGATAATCCGCCGACGCGATCGTCGAATGCTGATTTCGACGCCGACGGTAAGTTCATTTCATATATTATAATTCGATTTTAATTTGAATTGATGAGTCTTGAATTTGTATGTATTGTGTTTTACTTGGATCAAATAATCCAAATTATTAATAAAAAGCAATATGCTTTTTTAAATATGATTTATTGTCGACGTTTTGGAACTATGTAGTGTGTACGTTGCATCTTCAGGATGTCTGGACACATTAAATATATAGAATACATAGGTACAATAATTTTAAATTTACAGTAACATGCGTTTCTTTGCGTTCTTTATTCATATTCGAAACGTATGGAAGACGTATTAATTTTTTCTCAACACATATTCTTTTTCTTTTTAATAACAGATTAGTTGCCGGGTAAAAAAATCTTTGTCTAATTTGAATGACAAAAAATCATTTATTTGTAATGACGAATTGAAGAACTGATTATATTTTTGGGAAGGCAGCCTCAGCGGTTTCGAAAATCCTATAAAAAAATAAACTAGTTGTGTATGGAATCGTGCTTTAAGGCAAATTGCTGTTATTATTTATTTAAAGTATATAAGTGAGCTTTAGAAATTTAGCCAGAATTAAAATTAAAATCTGAATTATATTCGATATACAAAAAAAAATTTAAAAAAATATTTTTTTGAAAAAAAAATTTGAAATAATTTTTTTTCCAAAAGCATTTATTCAAACCAGTAGAAAGTTTTCTGAATCAATCAAATCGGATGCTTAGCTCTCTCAAAACCTGTTCTCCTATTTTTTGCTCAATTAGCTCGGTATCTCCAAAACGGTTCCGCTCTTCAATACGTCGATTTCTTTCTCCCGTATCTTCGGAATGGCTGGACCTGCCTTTGCCAAAAACTAATCAGCACATCTCCCTATCAATAGGAATCGAATGTTTTTTGAACAATTCAAATCAGTTGATCCGTGCGCCCGAAGACGTGGACGAAGAATTGTATCCATACATACATAAACACAAATATCCGAAAATGTTATGTACAGCTAATTTTTTTATATGAAAAAAGCGGGTTAAAATAGCCTCTCACATTTAGAAATTTGACCTTTTATTTTAAATTTTACGATATTTAACAAAAATTATGAAAATAAAATTGTTACTGCCTGGAATAAGTGCTAATTATTTTTAAATGAAAAAAAAATTGAACAAAATTTAATAATTAATTTGAAAGCTGAAAAATATAGATCCAACAAATATAAGACAAATATAACATATAATCTGATAATAAAGTTCTTAGTCAGTAACTTTGATTTAAAAAAAAGACTGATTTTTTTTGCATTTTTAAATAGTATTTGTTATTTTAAAATCTTATTAATTTTTTTAGTATACACCCCTTCCCCGTTCCGGATTAGCAGAACTAAAAATCACCTTCCAGGTTTTGATATGAAAAAATATGGTCACTTTATCTTAAGGCACGATGCCATGCACAACTAATGCACAATTATTACTTTTTTACATCTTGTTATCAAAGATTTAATAATATTTTAAAAACATGTTGTTTTCTTAAATATTTTTTGTTAGTGAGTAATATAAAGTAGTTAAAAATTTTAAGTAGCATTAATATACTGCAAAAATAAAAAAAGTGCTACAGCTTTGATTTTGTTAAAAAGTGCTACAGCTTTGATTTTGTTAAAAAAAAGTAATAGAAAAAAAACAATGCAAGAAAAGATTTAGGTCGTCTTTTCACAAACTTAATAAATCTGAATCGTAATGATAGAATGATCTTACTTTATTGTACGCTCAGTGAATAAAATATACTCATTTTTGTGGGCGTATGAGGTATGTTTTAAGTTAGCAGCACCAAGTTGTTTAGTTTTTCTATCCCCAGTTAAATAAAACCAAAAACAATCTCTCAAATGTGATCCTAATCCGTCATTTCACTCCCAAATCTGAGAGCTTATCGTATGCAGTAGATACTCTTTTAGAAATGGGGATGATTTAGGGTGGATTTATTAACGTTCTTCATATATAACAATTCAGATTAAGAATATCATTTTAAGAACTGATTAAGAACATTTTTTCTTAAGTAAATTAGAATAATAAAAAATATTAGGATAAGCGTATCAAGTAATATTTTTCTGAACTCTTAATTCTTAATCATGTTTGATAGATAGTTGCAGCAGAAATACTAATTTTAAATATATATATATATATATATATATATATATATATATATATATATATATATATATATATAATATATATATATATGGGCTAGGGCGGTATTGGACGATAGGTCCAATTTGATTTTGAGCAATTGTATAAAACCAAACCAATTATATCACATCAAATAATACATTTCAAACAAACAACTATCTGACTATGTTCTGTAAAACTCCCAGCTTTTTCATTATTTTATAACAATGTTAGTTTTCATTTATTTATAAATATGTTATTTTTGCTGTTTTTTAAAAAAAATCTGGTCCCTTTTAGAGTCTTTTGAAGGGGCTAACAGGCCGCACATTTATTTTTAATTTTAAATGGATTTTACAAAATAATAGCTACATTATTCAACCAATGCAAAATATAAATTTTGCAGGTACATTTTTTCATGTATAATACTATAAATAACCTTGATGTAGTATTTCATAATAAATAATCATCAGAGTTGGAATATTTTTTTAACTCTTGTAAAATAGTTTTTTTACACTAATTTACTTTTTTCTTTACTATTTTTTATTGTTCACATCTTTGCTAGGCTACATTACTAGCTACATTATTCAACCAATGCAAAATATAAATTTTACAGATACATTTTTTTGTATATAATATTATAAATAACCTTGATGTGGTATTTCATAATAAATAATCATCAGAGTTGGAATATTTATTCAACTTTTGTAAAATAGTTTTTTTTACTTAATTTACTTTTTTCTTTACTATTTTTAATTGTTCACATCTTTGCTAGGGTAAAGCTTTAGTTAATCCATCTTACCGCACTTACGTGTTCATTTTTATGAAGGCTATATAAAAAGCTGTTGAATCTAACTTAAAATTAACAATACATTTAATAAAACAATTAAATAACGCATACTTAATAATTGTACTAAGGTCTCGTAAACCAAACAACAGTGCTCACAACAAAAAAAACTAACAACGAAAGAAAATACTTTTTTATTGATTTTCAAACTTTAAATTAACTTTTATATATTATTGTTAAAAAATTTCTAACTTTACTGGTATTTGAGATATCGGTGGTGGACCATTTTACTCGCGGACTTTTAAGCCCCACTCTACCCTATATATATATATATATATATATATATATGTGTGTGTGTGTGTGTGTGTGTGTGTGTCTGTGTTTGTGTGTATTATGCATATATTTTTCTATAACACCCTGGCATTGAAACGGTAATCTTTTCAAACAACATGATCTACAAGAATAATAATTCAGAAGTCGATTCGATGATACCGCGTTCGTCTTTCTTTGCGTTTGCACAGATCGGCCGCCGCCGAATCGCGCCCCCGGTGCGAATTCCCCTGTGACCGAGGATTTCTTTTCGCCCCTTTAGCTTTTATTTTAAATGCAATCAATTTGTAATCCCCGGCACAGAAATGATAAAATTGATAGCCGGTGCCTGGCGGTTAGGATACATAAATGAAAATTGGATACATATAATTTTATAAATAAATGTTTTTGTGTTTAGTGATAATGTTTGTTTTATATACTTTTGATCACAAATTTAGGACGTTATGCCAATATTTAATGTTGGTAAATGATAACTCATGAATTTTAAAGTGAGGTAGACTCTTTTAACTGTAATAGTTATTAATTAATTTAATAATTATGGCACTCATATATGTACAGGGTGTCCCAGACTTTGATGTCAAGCTGAAACATGGTGATAATATGGTTCTTATCTGTTCTGTAAAAATTAAAAAAAATATATGTCACATCTTTGCCAATTATGAACTTTAAGTGCAATCTAGAGCTTTAGTGAATCTATGACCATTTTTCAGTTATGGAACACCCTCAAAAGGAGAACCCGCGCGTTGCTCGTCTCGGATTTTGATGAAACTTGGCACAATGGTAGATTTGATGCCCAAACTGACTCCGGTAAAATATTAGAGGCCTATGAAAAGCGGTTTAATTATAAAAATTAATTAAAGTTTGCATTGTAGCAGCGCGCGGCATGCATAGCTTGCGATGTTTTTCCTTATCAACAGCAGGTTGGCCGAGTGGCTATCGTCGTGGAATTCTAATTTTTGCTCCGGGGCTCAATTCCCGATTCAGATATATATTTTTTTATTTTTTTTATTTGATATTTATAATTTCATGTGTAAATAATATCAAAATTTTATTTGATTTTTCAATTAATTTTA